CTCCTCCTCCTCCTCCTCCTTCTTCTTTCTTCTTTCTTCTTTCTTCTTTCTTCTTTTTAATGAAGCCCCTGGAGCATACCAGCCCAGGAAACTGCATGGCCACATGGGAAGGGTTGGCGAACCCCTGACTTGCTCTGAGAGTGAGACGGAGCTACATATGTTACTAAGCAGTATTACTAGTTAACTACACTTTCTTAGGTGTATGAATGATAGCAACCATATCTTTACATTCATAATATTCCAAGAGCTTGAAATATAATGCATGAAAACTGTACAGATCACCTAGTTATCTTAGCTAGGCTTTTTACATATTTTATGGTTTAATGAATGGCTTTTTCAGTTCAAAGAGCTTCTATTTTATTATAGCTTGCTTATTTTCAGATCCAACTTAAAACTGACTTGAATTTACGTTTTTTTCTTTCCTTCTGATTTGGAACCTAAGGAAGAGGAGGGAGAGAGAGCAGCAGACGAGGTATGGGCTGGGACCTTTGGCAACCGTGCTTTGTCATCTTAAAAGATTTTTTTTTTTGAACTCAGGCCCTTGTGCTTGCCAGGGAAGTGCTTATTCTACTGAACCATCTCCTCAGCCCTGTTGGCTTAATAGAAACAGCTTTTAGGTTCCTGCAGCTCACACTTAGGGAAACTGAAAGGCCAAACAGCAGGACGGGGCCTGGTGAGGGTGCCCATGGGCTGCATCACCTCGTGGTGGTGGGAGAACATGAAGGAGAAAAAACTCCCATTGCCAAATGGGAGGCCAGGGACTAGCAGGTCCCACAGGCCCCTCATGATCTAAGGACCTCCGTCAGACTCACTTCTCAGAGGCCCCTCCCAGCATGGCTCTCACACGACCTTTTAGGGCACAGGCCTCACAACCCACAGTACTGCTGTCCTCAGCCTGCCACAAGGAGTCCTGGGCTTGGCCCTGGCTGTCAGCTGCTGGAGGGCACCAGGGAAGCTAGGACTGCAGGGTGGGGGCGGGGCCCTCGGAGAGACAGTCCCAGCTCCTTGGAGTGGGGACCCCTGTCCTTCACTGTGCCTTCTTTGCCCATAAGAAAAGATACACAAAGTTAAGGAAAAAAATTACAAAAGGAGAATCTAAATTTGGAGTGTAAAAGCAACAGATTCACCAAAATAAAAATTTTAAGAAAGAAGTGTCTTACAATGAATGAAGGTAGAAGGTCACCTAAGATGTAAGAGAATCAAGTTTCACAAAGATAGGAGCTGAATTATATAAAGTAAGGAAAAAGTATTAAAAATTAAGAATACTGAGATATTGAAAAAAAAAAATTGGGCCAGAGATTTAGCTCAGTGGTGCAGGGTATGCCTGGTGAGCAATTCTCAGTACCTCTCACCCCCAAAGTGAAGGACAATTAAAATATCAAAAGAAAAATGATAAAGCAGTGTTAAAAAGCTGTTAATGGGGGGGGTCTTTATTAAAATCTCGTGTCATTAATGTGGTAGTTTAAAAATAAAAACTTTCTTCTGAATTAGAAAAAAAAAGCTGTTAATGGTAACATAAGAATAAAATTTATTCTCTGTAACATGTAATATAAAATGTTGTATGTGTAGTGTATGTTTGTGGCATGTTTGGTGTGTGTGCTGTGTATATGCTGTGTGTGGTGGTTAGCATGTCTGTGTGTGGCATGTCTGTGTGTGATGTGTGTGGTGTGTAGTATGTGGGATGTGTAGATGTCTGTGCAGTGGGTGTCATGTGTGTGTCTCTGGGTGGTGTGTATGGTGTGTGTGTGTGAGATGTAGCATGTCTGTGTGTGGCATGTCTGTGTGTGATGTGTGTGGTGTGTAGTATGTGGGATGTGTAGATGTCTGTGCAGTGGGTGTCATGTGTGTGTCTCTGGGTGGTGTGTATGGTGTGTGTGTGTGAGATGTAGCATGTCTGTGTGTGGCATGTGTGTGATGTGTGGTGTGTCTCTGTGTGGTATGTAGTATCTCTGTGTTGTGTGTAGTGTGTGATGTGTAGCATGTCTGTGTGGCATGCAGTGTGTGGTGCGAAGTGTGTGGTGTGTGTTATCAGGAGCTCTCCCCATCTCCTGGTAGATCCCCTGTTGTCCCATTGTGTCTTCTTGTATCTGTGACCCTGACACATCTGTCTCCATAACCAAGTGACTTTTGTTGAAACAGACAGAGGACGTCCCAGAGGAGGCTGCAGAAGAGGAGGCCGGGGATGAGGAGGCCGAAGCCGGGGAAGAGGATCCAGGAGAAGAGGGCGAGGACTCCTAGGCTCCTCACTGTAGCCCTGCAGCCCACAGGTAGCAGGAGTGCCTATCACACGCTGGGCACTGGGGTCAGTTGGGCAGCCAGCTCAAAGCCTCTTGCTGTTGGGCTGCACTGCGTGCACCGGGCTCCTGTCCCCGTAGGGCTGTGGGCCCGTGGCCTCTGTTGCACTCATGCAGTGGAGGAGGAGCTATAAGCATCAGGCACACAGTGGGTCTTCAGCCAGGACTCTGAGCTCCTGGGGATCTGCATATTACTTAACAACTGGCTGTGTTCCCAGTTCCCAGCACCAACCCCCTTCTTACCCTGCTTACAGTTAACCAGCTCGCTTAATACAGCTTAATACACCGAAGGCCATCTCAGAGCTGGTGGACCGCGAACAGTTTATCCTTCATTTAAATTACAAAGCGAGTCTAGCCCCGCCCCCGCCCCCCTCCGCCCCCCAGGACCGCTGATTTCATTCGTGCTATGGACGTAGAAGGCTGCTGGGAGCCCACTTGTCCTTCTGTGATGATTCCATTTCTAAGCAGTGGATGGGACCCATGTTTGAAAAAACAAAAAGAAAGACTGGCAGGTTGATGAGCTACCCCCGCAGGAGAGGTCTTGAGAGGTGTGCTCCCGCCAGCAACAGGTTAGGTTGCAATAGAACCTAGGGCACGAGATAAGATGCGTAAGACTGTGCCGCTTTAACGGAATGTGAAATGGCAGAGCGGAGGGAGAATTTGTGATAGGCCAGTTTGTTTGTTTTTTGTATTTTAGGGAAGCGTCTACAGGGTGTTCAGGGTCTCACTACTAGATCGGACTCGTAGTGATTCTCCTGTTTACAGCCTCCCAAGTGCTGGGATTGGAGGAGCGCTCCACCACGCCCAGTTTCAGTTGTCATCTCTGCGCAGCCCCAGGGGCAGGGCTGGCACAGCCAGCCCTGGATCGAATCCCAGGCTCTTGAGCCTGCCTGCAGGCACTTTAATCCCCTGAGCTATTTGGCCAGCTTCAGGTTTTTTTTTTTTTTTTTTTTTTTTGTTTGTTTTGTTTTGTTTTTTAAGCCAAGCACTGCACAGTGCATCGTGTCTCTCTGAAGGGTTCTAGTTTGAAGTCCAGCTGGTTGCAGTCTGTTGTGAGGTCAAAATGCCTGAAAGTGAAGGCACGAACCAGGCAGCAGCACCTAAATCTCACCAGTCTGGCCCCAGACTTGTTTCATTGCTTTCTTTAAAATGTCACACAGCTGTGTCATCAGGAATTCTCCAAACCATTCAGCTTCTAGAGACAAACCTATCTCAGAATATACGGATAGCCTAGGCATTTATATTTTATTTATATATT